CTACCCTGAAAAAGACTGGCCAAGTCCAACTAGTTCCAATCTCAGAGCAAAAAGACAATTCTCTGCAACAAAAGAACTACTTTTTGCAAAAACTGTCATACTGATGACTCTGCCAGCAATTTCTAAAATGCAGAAAATAATCTCGGTAGCAGAGTCATCTGCAGTTAGGATCATCTCTTTCCTTCCTGAAACTGAGGCGCAGGAACTATGCCTAAATTCACAGCTAATGGGAAATCTCTTTGATCTTCACAGAGACACAGAGTCAGCATAGAAGAGCAGTCAGCATAGGAGTATCTTCTGAAGAAGTACTTATCCTAAATTCACCACCATAATAACTATAAAGTGTCCTGGGTCTAGAGCAGTGCAGTATTTCAGTGATGAAGAACTGTTAGCATGTTTAATATACCAAAGGAGGCAATGTTATTTATATCTACAGAAGCTGCTTACCCAGCATTAGATGTGTCAGAGCCGAGTACAACTGCAGGAATCCATCAGGAGGACACCTGAGATTCCTCTCTATTAAAAATGATTAATCTAATGTAGACAATAATCTTCATGGCAACAAATGTTATCTTAAGATGGGGGATGAAAGTTCACCGGGAAGCTGTGCAAATTCATGAAAAGAAACAAATGCATTAATGGTTCCTGAATGCACAGAAGCCTGTCTCCAGAAGTCTCTGTGTGTGTTCAAAAATGTCTGGAAGACAGGAGATGATTAGTAGGAAATATGCAAGTTTCTCCTCCTTGTATCCTTTTCTAAACATCCATTAGCCACTGTTTTGATTTTATTTGAGAGTCAGAACTGCTTTATTGATTGCAGCCAACAGCTACAATTCAGTAGTGGTCCCAGACACCAAGGTAGTTTTTTTTCAACAAAGACAATTTCTGAAGTTATGTGAAATGAGATAGAGATACACTATTATTAAGACATCCTGGGCTGAAGTAATTTTTGTTCCCTGTACACTGCAGGTACAAATAGCTCATAAATGCAGCTTGTTCCAAAACCCGTCCCTGCTGGATCTGCTCAGAAAAGCATCCCTTCGGCCACCCTCGGGGTGCTCTGGTCCCAAAGTAGCCCCTTCTCCCCTCCCTGGTTTGCCTGGGTGAAATTGTGCTTCGTGCTTTGGGAAATCTGGTGGAGAGGCAGGCAGGTCTCGTGGCACTGTGCGTCTGATCCCTTCACCTTACACAAAAACAACTCTGGAGACAGGATAGCGAGCTGGAGCCTAATCCAGTATGATCAGTCCTGTGTAAGTAGGTCAGCGAGGAGCCTTCTGACCATGGTAATGTCTTCCAGCCGCAGCCGCCCTTCTCACCACGAGCAAATCTGACAACTACTTCCTTTAGCAGCTAACGGGAGATGGAGGGTTTGATTCCGAGAGAATGTGCATTTGTTCTAGAAAAGCAAAACAAGTTTTGTTTAAAAATTACAACTATTTCACTATTTCAGTGGCTTGGAAAGAGTTCAGTGAAGTGCTTAAAAAAATAGAGGGCATCTGATTACTCAACCTGGGATGTCAGATGGCAAGAACATCCAGACTAGCTTATTCATAAATGCCTTATTTTAAAATACCGTGTTTGGCAAAAAGAATCAAAACCAAAATAATTGTACTGTTCTGCTAAAATCACTTGCTGAGAATTGGTCCAATGTTTTTCAAAAACGAGGAGTGTATAATATAATTTGTTTTGTTGCAAAATCACTTCCCTGTAGTTCAAAAAAGCTTTCCACTCGTCCATATGCTCTTGAAACAGAAATTCACACATCAGGTTTCTCAAGAGCAAGTTAAACCACTCTTCCCCACTAACACCCATCCTCAGGGCTCTGCTTCCCCCCCTGCAGAAGCAGACCCATTACCAAGCCCAAGGCAGTGTTGCTCTGGTCGAACTGGCTCATTTGTGCATGTAAAGGTACTAACGGACAGGACAAAACTCCCTAACCTCCACTGGTTTACTTAAGAGAATTTTATTTTACTGGTGCCAGTCTTTCTGCTTGTTTAATTGCTCTCCACTCATCTTTTCAAAAACCTGTTCAGCTCAGTGATGTCATTAGGGCAGCCTGTACCAGAATTGGACAAAGTATAATTTCAGCAGTTACAGGAGAACTAAATGCAGACGTAACAGCCTCTATTCCTATGCAATATTTCATTGTTTGCACAGTAGTAAAAGTCAGATTGTGCACACACATGCAGTCAATTATCCACCATAGCAAGTACCGCTTCATACAGTGGAGTCCTTTATGTTCACACATGGTCTGTATTCCTTGTTCCCAAAACATGTAACTTTGCATTTGACTATACCGAAGCATTCATTTATGCTTGATTTATCTAGAGATCCAAATTTGTGTCACACTTCCCTCTAAAAAACCCCGAACCTGCTAACATCTGCAACTACGTTTCTCCCAGGCCAGTAACAGCAATGTTTTAGGCCATGGCAAGCAGTCACTCTAAGACTCTGCCAACTTCATCAAGTTTCCACTTAGAACCGCATTGAGACCTGCCCGTTTGTCATTTTTAAATCCTTTTAACATTTGCCACAGGAAATTTGTATCATACCAGTTTAAGTTGTCATACGGTATTAAGTCAAACGCCTTACAAAAGTCTAGGGTATGTTGCATCCACAAGCAAGCTTGTCAACTCAAAATGAGATCAAAATAACTTGATAAGTCCTCCATAAATCGCTGGAAACTGGTATTAACAGCATTTCTCTCGGGTCGCAGAAGAGCTCTGCATTTATTTTCTCTAGGATCACCATCACAGCACTATGTTCTAAAAGGGCAAATGGAACAGACTGGTAACTTCGTCCCCTCGTGTCATGTAGTCCCTAGACTTGTCAAGTAGTAGTCCAAGGAGCTCTTGGACAGTTAACAAAAAAAAAAAAAGTCTCCAGTGCAAACTGTAGAAGACTGCTGAATCTGAAACGTTTTGCCATGGCATTGCTACTTAAACGCTCACCCACATTTCAATGGAACGGCAGCAATAACTAAAAATACTGCCAGTGATTACATCCTCCTGTCTCCCTGTTGCCTCATGAAGGTACATTCGTGTGCTTATGCTGCTGAAGTCATTTACATCTACAAAGAAAACACGTTTTTATAGTACAATTAAAGCTTGTTACCAGACAAAGTAAACAGGCTTGCCCATGGCATTTCCATGGGTGCTCCAAGGCGGGCACAATCTCAGCCATGATTTCCATGCGCTGGGGTTGCACGGCTCCCTCCTAGGAGTCACAGCTATAGCTCGGGGGGTGGAAGGGAAAGCGTAGCTGTTTTACTACCAGATGCATATGTTAAATTTATTTAGTGACACTTCAGGGCAGTGCCATTAGGATTCCTGCCCTGCTATAAATAATAGCCTTATTGTGAGGAGCTAATAGAATGATTGAATTGGGCTGTAAGAATTGTTCAGGCACTGTAAATACACAGAGAGCCAGAAACATCCACAAAATTAACTAAATCCTGTTCCCATACCTCAGACAATTAACAGTTAACCTTTCTGTTTCAGGGTTTGTATACATATTTTAAGGAAACCGTTTTCTTCATACAGAAACCCATCCTCTCCATTAAGTTGAAAGAAAACCTCATGTGCTCCAAATCTACAATATTTTCATTGTAAAGCTCTACCTCAGCAATCCATTAGCTCCCCGATTCACATCATTTACACTGATGATCTCACAGGGATTCCAGTTTATAAGACATTCCATGTACCAAGCTACAGTTGGGCTTTCAGAGACCCGTCTCCCATGGCCTTTGGCATCTAGAGAAGGCAGTGGGTCCACTTAATGCTTTTTCCAGAACAGAAAAAAATAGTTAAGCAATAACAACAGAGGTGGCAACTGTCGACTGTGGGCTGGCTTCAGTGCTTCCTAGGCAAAAGTCTGTGAGGAAGGTATGTTGAAGATTCTGTGCAGACAATAACTTTTGGGGTGTGTCAGACCAAACTAAGCAGGCCACAGAATAACAACCTCAACAGCATCTTACCAGTTCCTCTGTGCTAATGCAAAAAAATGAGCAAAAGTTCTTGTACAGTAGGCTCGGGCAGCAGTCATTCAGTACAGGCTTTTCTAACTGCCCTCTGCTCCCCCAGCTCAGAGCTGTCACGGGTGCTTTGCTCCCCCACTGCCGAGGCTTCCGTTAAGCAAAAAGACACTTCAGTAGGGAACCAAAACAGGGAATAAAATAGATGAAAAATTACATGACCTGTTTTGTGATAAGACACAGGCAATCGCTTGAGCAGCAATAAGAGAAAGTCCTAGGACTATGTGGAAGAGAAATCCTATCTCTTCTGGTAGCACTTGTTTTTCAGATGGTTCTTGCTGGAACAGTGTAATTCTAAGTTTTCTTACACTGTATAGCCGTATACACTGTATATGCATGCATACATATGTCTGCATGCATATACACACACACCCCCCCAAGAGAGAGAAAGGACTTGGAGGGGGAAGAGAGAACATGGATTTTGTATGCAGTTCTGGGGGTAAAACTTCCAATAACAGAATGGTTGTAAAGATTTCATCTTTCTCTGTCCTGAGCTTTGTACATACTGCCCAGTTTCATTATTTTGAGAGAATTATTTTATCATTTCAGAATCTGTCCAAAAATCTAGCTGATGGAGAGCTTTGAACTTTGCAAGAGGGAGGGATTGTGCAGCCAGGATACAGAAATAACATGTACAGTTTGTTTTTAACATTCAGAAGAAATTCAAGCTCTCACATCATGAAATGAGAAGATGAAAGTTACAGAGTTGAGGGTCAGCAGGGGTACAAAAGGCGGAAGTAGGAGTGACCTCAGGAAAAAGCCTCTCTCTCAGTGTAGTTTAAATATAAACGCATTGTTTTGGTTTGTTAAAACCAAAATTTCATGCTTGACTTGAACTTACTTTCCTTGATTTATATTATACCTACCACATGTAGTCACCCTTCACACTGGGACACCCATGAGGCTTAACACTCGAGGCTGAGCATTGCTTGTTATTAATTCAAATTTTCTTTGTTCTTTCCACCAGCTCCTACTCCAAAGAGATGGCGAGAAAAAGGTGAGACTAATTTTTGGAGAATTCTTTTGATTTTCAGTATCAGTTGATGTTTAATGATACCATTACAATCAGTCCATTTAAGTGCAGACTACAAACTGCTGGGAGCAAGCTCATCTCTCAAACAGCTTGCTTGATATGGTAGATTGTTTCACATGCTTTATTAGACAATACACTTATTGTTAAGTTGCATGTATCAGCTTGGGATATTCAGGGAGACACTTAACAGTCCCTATGACAGGAGAAAACACTCTTGAATTAAAAGCAAGTCTCCAGAATTTAAGTGATAAATTATCCCCACTAACTGTAAGCTCCACTTCACTCAAAGCAAAGTTACTTGAGATAGAGCAGCAGGTTTCATTTTTAGCAAACTAGCTGCAAGTAATTCCTCTCTCTCAAACCATGCAAGGCAGGTGGAAAAAGTGAAGATAATTAGACAGATGCAATATAGAGATTTAAAGAGAATAAATCCGTTTTTCCACTTTTCAGGGTAAAGATAATGCAGTTCATTTATTCTAACTAGTACTTTCTTAGGCAGACATTTACTTACTCAGTTTCAAACTCGCAGTTAAGCTGCTCCAGTAACCTTCTAGATCCTATTAAAAACGATCTGAGGATCAGAAGGACTTGTCATGCAGTGGTTCACTTTGGGCAGGGTTTCCCACACCCTGAGCGCCAGGCTGCTCCATCTCCACTACAGGGAACGGAGGAATCGGAACCGAAGGGCTGCACTAAATGCGCCTGTAAGCGTGCCCATGGCGGTTCCGCGATGCCCTGGCGTGCTTTCAGCTGCCACAGACAACTCTGGAAGATTCTCCTGCAAGTTCCTTGCAGCATGTAGGGCCACGACATCTCAGTAGCTCCGAGTATCAGACAAGTAAGCAGGGGCAGCACAGGGAAGAAACCACCGAGTGAAGCATTTACTATGCTGCCTGCCCACCCAACAGAGAGGTTGGGAGCATCGTTCCAGCTGCAGCCAATATGAAAAACATTCGAGGGGTGAAGTTAATCCAGTTGGAATCGAGAGACTGAAGAAGCACAGTGACCGATCCCCATCCCACTCTGCGGCAGCTCTGCCCTGTGAGATCTTCCTGCCCTGGAAGGGTCGCCCTGGTTCAGCCAGGCGGTTGCTGAGGATCTGCGTGCCTTAAGGCGATGGCACAGATAACGCCTTGCCAAACCCACAGTGAAGAAGAGAGGGGATAGGAGCTGTAGAGAGACAAACAGACATTATGCACTCCAGTCAGAAGTAGATCGCCCCTGCGCTCAACTTTTATTGGTTTACAGTTATGGGTGTCCCCACACACTTTTATTTTTTAAGCGAACTTTAGAAAGAAATCTGAAACATTATGAACACCCTTAGTTATTTAGAATATGCATATCCACAGGAGGAAAGGCTATTTCAACTGCAATTCAAACATGCTCAAAGCTGTTTTAAGAAACACTAAGTCAACTTAGCATCCATAACTGTAGTGTTACACTTCTGCAATTCATTAGTCCTCATGGTTCCATTTCGTAATTAAAATACTTGCAGTTTAAGACTCGACAATAAAGAATGTGCAGTCCTCAGCAGTGTTTCCACTGCTAGTCTATGGAAAACATATGCATGGAAAATATGTACAGTGCATGTATACAGCCATCTTTGGATAGCTTCAGTGAACATTCAACGCTGTCGGTGAGTTTGAGAACTAGAAAAAACCATCGACCGTTGACTGTACCTTGAGGTTTATCACAAACCCTCTGTTAAATGGAAAGCTTGAACCTTCATAGTTTTGCACATGTGGTTGCCATTAACAGGTCATGATTTACAGATTATATTAAGAGCTACAGAGGTTGAGTTTTTCCAGTTCTTCTACTTTCTCCAAAAATGAGTTGGTGTATAAGAAATGTTTGTTTTCTCTTTAAAAACCAAAAAATGTAGGCTTTATACTCGAGTAGAATGTCTGCAGAACAAAGCATCGGAGAGTAATGGAAGGTTTTGTATGGGCAGCGCAAGAGCAGTAACGTATCCACACCATATGGTATACTTGGAAACAAATCTGAGCATGGTGTATGTTCAAAATAGCAGAATACAGGCCAGATCAGGAGGGAAACCTCATTTCCATTTGGGCTGGCAACTTGAGCTTCTCTGGAAAAAGCTTTGGAATGTCAGTTCATTTGCTGACAGGAACCTGCGCTCGATTTCAGCAGCTGCTCACCGGGAACGCTGGCCGAGGAGCGGATCCCTCCCAGCAAGGTCCAGCTGCTCCTGCGACTCACGCTGTCGCTTTGCAACTAGGCAAGCAAGAAAACGTCCATCCTTTCAAAGGAACAGGAAGCCAAAGGCACTGGCACCTCAGCAAGATCTACACGGTGCCCTTTCTATCCCACCTGGGTGCCTAGGTGTAGGACTGCGCACGCCTTCACAGGGCCCCCAAGGGATTGCAGAAAGCCTCAAAGCACGTGCCAGGGAACGCTGCCTCGGGCTGCTCTGGGAGACATCTTGTAACATGTATAATTTTACTTCTGTATGCGGTCACAGGTGGGCAGCACTTCATAGACACCTGTCTCGCGACCAAGAGAAAGCTCAGGCTCTTGAAAGTTAAGGCTGTTCCCTTCAAGCACACTTTGCACCTTTATATGCTCGTATCGTATGACTAGGTGACATTCAAATGTCAAAACAGGACTTTGTCAAAACACGTGCCAGTAGAAGGGGGTTCAGCTGGTAGTTACCTACGCCATCAGAGCCTTCCTACCATAAAGGAGGTCTGAAAATCTTGAGCCACAACAGAAGTTCACCATCAGAAATGGTTGCTCGAAGCGATAAACCAGCATCAACAGCAGTGGATACCTCAGTAAACACGATGGCGGTGTAGTTCTTCCAGTAGCCAGGAGGTAGACTCAAGGAGGACACGAGAAATGCTTTTAAGCAGGATGTGTCTCATACTGGTGTAACGTGAATACTTCTGGGATGAGGCCCAGCCCTCACTGCGTTAGAGGAGAGTGTGCTGCTTGAGAATTTTCGGAAAATAGTTTAGATGCAAGAATAGGGAAGGTTCAGTGAATGTGTCATTTTCAGGTCCTTGGGGTACACAGAGTCAAGAACCATATAAACTACAAAACAGATACTCCTGACCGCAAGAATCTGTCTCATAAGTGGAGTAATCAAGCGAAACAAAATCACCTTTAGCAAAAAAAAAAGACAATTTAGATCATATTTTTAAGGTAGTTTCTAAATTGAAGGATGTGTTTCTACTACTCTCCCTGTGAAAGTGTATTTTCCAGAAGTCACCAAGATTTTAAGAAGCCCTGAAATAACTGTATGTCCTGAGGACGAGACGACTGCAACACTGACTATTCCATGTGAAACTAAAGTAACAGCGGAGCGGTCTGAAGGAACAGCGCTGCCCACCTTTAGCATCTAATGGCTGCAATCAACATTCATTGCTGTCGGTGGGTTTTCATTTCTATCAACTCACTGATCAATGAATGCAAACTGCGGACCAGCTAGCTAAGAGGCTACATGCTCAGACAGCTCGGGGCATCTTTCCAGCAAGAAAAGTGACTTACGCTTTTGGCTGAAGAAGTGCTGTATTCAAGTCCTGCCTACCAGTAACCTGACAGCCACTGTGAAGATTAACATCTTACAGAGCAGTAAATTCTGGATAAAATAAGTATTCCTCACAGAAAAGCAGACATTATAATGGGGCACAAACACTGCTTTCTTTGAGGCATACTAACCGTATGAAGCATTGCAGGCACCTTGCTTTGTGAGAACAAGCCCCTTTTCAATTCAGTATTCCAAGAGCTTCTGCAGCAGTGCAAGGCCGATCCTGCCCTCCAGCCCCCCAGACACTTGTGCAGTGCGTTGGGCCCTCACAAATCCATGAAGTCTATTTGTCTGTTGCGGTGGTGGTGGTGTTAATAGAGGAAAATCACAATCCATCCTCAGTGTAGACTTGAGTTATTCCCCCCTGTCATTTATCAGCTTCAAGAGAAGTTGGATCCAGTTGGAATATTTTATAAAGAATACAAAAAGCCTTCTGTTTAAATATTGAAACCTGATCAACAACTGTCAGGTGCATTTCTGTACAAGTCTATAATGCTTACTAAAGCACATTAAAAACAGTATCTTGCATTAGGTATATTTTTGATGTGAAATGTTTTTTTTAAAGAAAACTTTGCAAGTGCCAACTCAGTAACTTCAGATTTTTCTCATTTATACTACAGATTTGAACGTTTAAGTTCCACCACAGCTTTACTTCACAAATGTGAAGGTTTAACTTGAATTCTATAGTTGGAACATTGATAGGCTTTTTTTGACACCTTTCCTCTTCCCAACCCTGAAAACCAGCCTCTAGCCACACAGCAAAAGGGATCTGCAAAGGCAACACACCAGAACAATTTCTCCACACCTACAAGCCAAACTCCTGTCAGAAGTTATACTCCACAAGCACCTCCAACCGGGTGAGCTCCATCCCAGTGTTTTCAACCTTCACCTTTACACAGTGAGCTGCTACTATGGCAGCTCTTCCTCCCGAAATTAAAGCCAAGACAGGCCCCATCTGTATCAGAAAAATACTAGAAGAAATGCAAAGAGAGGCTGCACTTCTGCATTGACAGATGTTCATCTGGTTGTTAGCCCCAGCCACGTTTCACTGTTCACGTTTCAGCCACCCACCAAATTCATTCTTTGTAAGCGATAGCAGTAGAGCCACCTCCATGGCCAGTGTCACTGCAATCCTTCAGAGCACTCGGCGTAACACAGCAAAGCCATCCCATTACTACTGAACAAGAACCCTCCTGGCCTGGGAAGGGGTCACGTTTCTGAGGACAATGGGTAAAAACAATAGCCTCTTTCTTCTGTCCCTCTCCCCCCGGCTTCCCCACTTCTGCTCCCAAGCCACCCAGTTCTCATGGCACATACTCCTGGCAGACTTTACACCACACTGGACTCTGCAGTGTGGTGTGGTCCTTCTCCCCAGAAACTCTCCCCTTGCCCACCCCACTTTCCCCCTCTCCATCAGAGCTCAGGACCTCCCGGAGCTCTGGGCAAGGGGCAGAGCTGCAGGGCAGAACAGACCCAGCAGAGTTAATTAAAAGAAGCAGGGAGCTTCACCATGGAGTCAAGTCCTGGGAAGTCTGAGTCAGCACCAGCCAGCTACGCACACCGGAATGCACTGAGCCCTACAATGCTACTATTTTAAATACTAATTAGAAGTTACTTCAGATTTTTTCCTAGACACCCTAGAAGTTAATTGGATAACCTGGGGTGATCTTACTTAACCCAGGTTAAATATGAGTACTAAAAGCATGCTGTAACTCTGAGAAGTGCATGGGGATTTTTAAAAGGACAGAACAGTTGATCAACTAACTCAGTTTTAATAAAAGTGACACCTGAGTATATGGTCCTTTGGTAGATCTCTACTTTCAGTAAAGCGTAAACCTACATCTTTACCTCGAAATAGGAAGTGAAACTTCCTCCTGAGTAAAACAAGCTCTGGGCCAACACTGGGTCCTATAAAAGCGATCAGAGAGAGATGACAGAGGACTGAAGTTGGGGGGGGGGGGTTCGGATTGCCGGGGATAAGAACAGGAGGGGCAAAGCAGTAAATTTTCAATTATTTGAGACTATGCTGCAGAGTGCATTCTTCATTGCTGTGGCGGGCAGGGCAAGCTTCAATTACAGCGGGAAAGATTCAGGTCAGAAAAAGCTTTGTGCCAGAGGGAGCTAGTGACAGGCCGGAGCGGACTGCCGGGGCAGGGAGGGACCCTCCTGCTCTGCGCCGGCCAGGGGCCAGCGGACACCTCTGTGTGCAGGACAGGTCGCCAGTACGGCCTCGAGACCGGCCCAGCAGCTCTTGAGCTGTCCTCCCAGTATTTATTTCATGACCTGCATGACACTCCTGTGCCCAGGAACGTCCCCCCGTCTCGGGGCAGCACGATGCAGCAGTTGCAGAGACCCCTGCGATGCGCCCACCGCTCTCCAAAACGCTGTGCCCAGGGTGGGGGGCAGGCCCTGACCCGGCAGGGAGAGGGACGCGGCTTCGCTCAGAGGTATCGCACACTGTGCCATAAAGGGTCCAAGCGCTTTTCTTACGCCTTGTTTACTCCCCCAGCTGCTTAGGGGATTATTTCAGAGCAGCCTGTTCAGACTCGCTGTGCTGATATCCCAGTCACTGTCTCCCCAGGCTTGCTGTACAGTTCAAGTCAGAACAACTTAGAGACATTTTAAACCCCGGTTAGGTGAATATTCAAAATAAATCCCTGGTTGCTTGTTCTGCTGAAAGACTAAGCTTGTTCGATTTCATACAGAAACAGCTTCACTGAGTTCAGCAGTTACAAACTAAACTGACTGAACTCTTTGCAAAACTGGGGCTTTGGAGAAAACCTCCCGTCCCCCAGCGTGACAGCAAAGGGCTCTGTTCAGTCCCCCCAGGCACCCCTAGTGAGCAGTCCCACCAAACCCCTTGGTAGCTTGATACAGAGAACTGGCTACAGCAATATAAAAGTGAACAGCCTGACAGCATGCCTGCTGACTTGTTCAAACATTATGAAAACTAGACAAATGACTCATTTTTGATGCAGTTTGACATTTTGCCTTCGGTATTTCCAATTTTTAAGCATGTTTGGAAGACTCATTCAAAAGTGAGAGTGCACAATTTAGGTTGGTTTTTTTTTTTTTCCCCAGTGGCATCTTACATGATGTACAAGAAAGCATTTGTCTATTATTTTAGAGACATTTCAGCCTACTGGTTTTCCCCACACGCACCTGAATGAAAATACAAAAGTCCTGACAGAAGTGTTCATTACTGCAAGGAAATGTGAAAATCATTCACTGCCATTACTCTGAATCAAAGACATTTCAAACAAACAGGAGAAACTACAGTAGAAGGGCCATCCTCCTGTTTGCTAACACACAACAAGCAAAAGGCTTAAGCAGACACTCCACAAATGTAAATGCTCCAGATGCACAAATAATCTAAGAATTCAGTTTTCTACTCTGTTGTGAAAATCCTCAAGTTTTTTCTTTTAATCGTATTTGGTAATGAGAGAGGCGAGAAAAAAAAAACAAAAAAAACAAAAAAAACTTACTAGGACAGGTTAGCAGACATGTTCAGAATTTTTCAAAATCCATGCTTGGGAAGTTTTAGATGTTTCTGGCACCAACTGTTCGCTGCCTACCAGAGATCACCGCCCCCAGAACCGCCGGCCCCGGACCTTGGCCAAGCCGAGCACGTCGGGATGACGCTGAGCACTGGCACAGTCGGTGCTGCCACCACAGCAGTCGGCCAGCTGGGGCTGGAGAGCTCCCAGAACCAGAATTGCCAGGGCCCACCCATCCGCACGCCCAGGCTCGGGCAGGGCAGCGCCGGCCGAGCGTGCTGCAGCGCTTCAGGGGCCTTGCTGCCCCAACCGTGCCCCCCCGGCCCCTCGAGCAGCTGCAGGGACCCCAGTAGCCCACCAGCGTACCCACAGCCCCGCTGCTGCCGCTCGGCCTGCCCACCGGCATTGACGGGTCGATCGAAAGACAGGAAGACATCAAAAGAACTCAAGGAGCTCGGTTTATTTATTTTATCAAAAGTTTATATAAATATCTTCATAGGGAACAGAAGTTTGACAAGCATTTTTCAGTGTAGCCAAAGATTACAGACATGAAAGCTGTAGCTAGACAAATTCAGACTAGCAATAATATACAATTATTGAAGGGAAAGAGAGGGTCATTCAGTTGTTAGCCCTGCTTTTAGTATTTGGCAGATACATTCTGACGTGAAAATGCTGTGGAAAATTTAGTTTTGAGTACCTTTTAATGCACGAGATGCCTGAAGGCAGCAAATCTGAGCCGTGTCAGACTGCAAAGGCTCAACAGAGCATTAGCCAGTGTATCTTCATAAACTATACATGTGTCTAAACAGCAACTTAAATTATTCTACATACACATATGAAATTATCTGTGTCCATATAAAAGTGATCAACTACATGAAAACCTAGCTAGATGCCTACAAGTGTGCTTTATTAATCAACAAGCAAATAACTGCACACGTGTTTACAACTTGGAGCCTACCGTACATTCATTCTACGTGACTGTTCTCATTATAAAGGAAGGAACCATATATTCCCATTGTAGAGGAACCACAGTTCTCCAAAGCTTCAAAGGTCTCCAATAAAAGTAAGTGCAAGTCCATCAGCACAGTGACACATGTGGAAAAGACAGTATCCTGACTCTGGAAAGCTTTTAGCAGTTCTGAACATCTGAACATTGTTTTTAAAATGAGCTGTCAGTTAATGGCCTGCCACATTTGAAAAATCCAGAGACTTTCCAAAAAATTACATGAAAGGTTGCTTTAAATGAGAAATTTGCACAGAGCTCATCTCTCTAATGAGCACAGTTGTTTTGTATTTATGCCTGTAACTTCCACCAGTGTGACAAGGGCTTGTTGCCATCTAGTGGAACATAATCCGCAAAATGCATTTGGTTTCGTGGACACAGCAAATACCACTAGGTGGAGTATAAAGTATTCTGAATTCATATTATTTTAGGTGTCCAGCAGCTCAGATTTTTAAAGTCTCAAGAAGTTACAAGCCCAGAATTACAGTGAAATTGGAGAGGATTTCACCAACTGCTTTCAGCTTCAGGAGAAATTCCAGGCTATGGATTTCCAAGTATAGTACTGAAACACTTAGGATAGATACTTTCATGTCAACAGAATCTACCAGCACTTCAAGTGTCTCTATCCCTAACATACAGGCATGTACTTTACATGATCTTACGCAACCTGCATTCTGGTGGTGTAAAAATGTACAGACCTGGTCTATGCTACTTTTGTGAGAAAGAACCGATCAACTATCAGATACGGGAATCTGTACCCCCATGAGTAAGCATTAGCTCTAAAACTCTGAGAAGTCTCTAACGTGAAGTATGAATTAATATCTTTGTATTATCTCAGATTGAGAAATTCTACCTCATGTGGCAAGAAAAGGGGTACTTACTGCCCATGGAGTTCATAGGAAGGACAGGAGAGGAGGAACTCATCTGCTCCACATCTGTAGCTAATGGGAAAGTGAAAATTAGAAAGTTGTGATGTGCATGTTACCAAGAAGTCCTTAATTTTGAAAACTTTCATTTACATTTAAATTGAATATGCATATCTTGGATCACCTGGGGAAGCTGCTTTGAGAAGCAGCTCATTTGTAACAGTGTCATCCTTCCCTCTTAAGATATTTCTCTCTCATACACATTATGTGCAGACCTACTTTTCTAAGCAGTCATGTTGGAAATCTGTAACTTGCAATGGTTTCAAAGTATCAATTCAGAACAATTTCCAGCACAAAGCAATTCTGAATTCTAGCAGCTTTAAACTGTATACAGTATCACCTTGCAATTGAAGCATTACTGTGGAATGAAAGGACATGATGGTCTCCCATCTGCGTCCAGTGCACCTTCAAAAGATTCCTGACTGGAAGGGGATCTCTCCAAGGCATGCAGAATGCTGGCATTTGATCTGCAGCAGTATCAGAAACACGTGTCTCTGCATACAAGTCAGTCCAAAAGCTTTATTTTCTAACAGCTGAAAGGATAAATAGAACTACCTTCCTGTGCTTTGCCAGTGAAAAACCCCAAAGTCAGAACTTCATCTGAACTAAATGCTACGTCCTCTGCATTTTAGGAAGGGTCCACGTTTCTGGGACCCAAACCAGGAAAGAACCATCTTCCAGTAACAGGGTCAGTTTTAACCTAAGATTAGGTAAAAGAAAGATACATTCTTTGGGGCTTGATGTCTCTCAAAAACCCACATTCACCCTTAGAGCATCACCACAAACACCCAAGTCAAACAAGTCACTCCATCATTTTGATCCTACTATATACCACATAATTATATTTTCTATAGTTCTCATTTAGCTTTAAGATGCAATAAATGCATACTAGATGTTGACATTCCTAACCACAGAATACAGCCCCAGCAGTGTAACTTCAGCCCACGGGCAGGGCTTGCTGTCAGTCCAAATCCAGCATTTCACATTCTTACAATTCCCATTTATTCTGCAGCAGGCAGTTCTCTGAAAACCACTGTTTACACTGAAAAGTGCAAACTTCTGCTCTAATTAGGCAAACTACAAACAAATGTAAACACTTCAGCAGACCATTTTTACAGAATAGGAAGAGCAGACGCAGCACCACACTTACGTTAACTTCACCCTCCTGCCACACCTAGCAAGCGCTTTGCTTAGAAGCCTGCTCAGTGCGGCCACACAAAGCAAGCAGCTTTAGTTTAACATGCTGAATAGCAGCCACAGTCAAGAACAGCAGCACACACAATGGTGGATTTATTCAGAAATGCCCCGGGTTATTTCTGTCCTATTCTCCATTGAATTATCAAGACATTTACTGCCTAGAACATCTAAACATTAATTTATAATCTCACTTGGCTCCTCGCAGATCTTACACCCGTGCTCAGAAAGTTGCATCCAACAAGCCAGACTGCAGCATTTCCAACAGTCGCACTCTGGAGTGCGCTTTACGGGTCTCTAATATGCTTTGAGAAAAAAAAAATTAATTTTGCGTCTTCCCATCTTCCACCTTAATACTGCAGTCTCTCTAATGCAGGAATTGCTAACCCTCTGAAAGAGCTAGCAGGTCATACACTGCACACATTTTCATAAGTAAAAAAAGATTCTTCATATGCAGTATAGCAATTTCAGATAACCTGGAAAGGGTTCTGTATTTTCTCCTATTTAAAGCTAGATATGCTTTCATGCATAGCCAAAACAACCCAAAAAGTGCAGCATTAAAGTTACTTTTACTCTTCTGGGAAGCGGTAAGATTCAGCCTGTGTAAATATCGGTATTGAGCACAACTCAGCTTTCAGAAAGGTTGAAGTAACAGATTAGCAGATGGTCATTTAAAGGTTACCTGCTGCTCTCTGGCAAAAAGAGGTCAACTGCCCGACAAGCCAGCCAGATGGCAAGGAGCAGGCTCCAAGCAGCCAGCAGCGGTCTGTACCACTTGAGAAGCCATTGTGTGAGTAACAGTCACTTAGAGTAGTAAGCTACACCTGCAAACATCTGGAATAGTTTATCAAGTATCATTCAAAAAGCAACTAAATAATGCATGTGCCTTCTGAAGAGAAATTTCTGAGCGGGAAGCATTTAGAGAAAGCCAGTGTGCATTTTTAAGTCCTGCAGTTTTAGATTGTTCACTG